TTTTGATATTGTTGATTGCTCCATTTATCATCCAGTCTCTTATGCTTGCCCTCTGGGCTTCTTTGCATTCCATCTATATTTGATACTTTGCTATCTTGCCATCTCAACAAGAATACTAGCTAGCTGTAAAACCTATTTATATGTATAAATCAATTCCATCCAATATAGCTCAGGGATACCCATTTGTTTTTGATGAGCATATATTCAGTTGCCTACCTCTAAGTAATTTCTGTTTAAATTTCTGTTTAAATTTCTTCTTCTATATGCCATTAAAACACAAGAACCCTCCATCTTTTGCATCTGGTGACAAAGTTTTGAATATATACTGTGACTATTATGCACCTGGAATCAGCCTAAAATAATTCAATTAAGAACTGGACTGAACCAAATTAAACTAAATAATGGCTCAGGTACCAAAGACACTGAAAATATGCTACAATTTATTTAAAATATTTTTATATCAATTTTTAATTAAAAATCACCAAAGAGGTTTTTAACATAATTATCCCCAAACCATTTCTTGAAATTGTTTCTCTTCTTATTCCACTTATAGTTAATGCCTAACTATATTGTTTTAATACCTTCATACTTAAAGTCACACTACAGTACAGTTTAGGCATAAACTATCCAGTTGAACATTCTAGAGATTAATGAGAATAATTTCCAAATAGTTTCATAAAAAACTGTAACTTTAATTATCTATACTCACTGTTAGAAAAGGATGTCTAGTGTTTTTCAATACTCTACTTTCTGTAAGTGTGTGAGCCACTTCATCCTAGAAAATAAAAAAATTCAATATTAAAATTAGTAATTTTAGAAGACAAATCTAGATCAAAATATGATTGTAAAAACTGCAATAAGTTTCTAGAATATCATACACTAAGCATACTTAAAAGGGGAGAGAAAGCAGGATATTCAAAAGCTTGAAAAAGATAAATCCTACATGATAGTTCACTATAACAAACAATACTGCTACACCACTATGCTAAAATAATGGTTTTAATCTCCCTTACTATTGAATTATGGAATACAGTATTTATTGTTGAGAAAATTATTCAGTGTTTCCTTGAATAATCACTTTTTAAAGTATAAAAGTATACAAAGATACAAAATCTTTTGCGAGTTTTCTGATCTGAAATGGGCCATTATGACCAATAGACTAAAGTTAGAATAGTCCACCAAGAGTTAGCCTCTTTTGATATGTTCAGAATGACCAATTCTAAAATTGGATCAGACATTCTGTGAGCAGAACATTTTCATATTGTAATATTTTATGCATTTCTAACATCTGCCACCACAGAAATATATAATTAAGTTCTGGAGCTTGAATGCTGTAGACTACGGCAACTATGATAAGTAAACAGTATGGAATGACATGTTGTACAACATCTACTGAATCAGTAGGGATGGACCATAATTAATCAGCAAAAAGTATCTTTGAATGCAATTTGATACAGGTTCAGTCCCAATATCTGATGTTAAAAAAATCAGACAGGAGGTAAGGTGAAAAAGCTCTGCCTGAAATTGGTGAGATGCCAGCAAGAGTAACTATTATGTGACACATAGTTACAGACTGATTTGGTATAGGGCAATTAGTGTCACGGTATACTAACTGTGGGTTCCTTGGTTCTCTCTGAGCTTGGCTGTTTTGTTGCAGACATTTCATTACCCAAACTAGGTAACATCATCAGTGCTAATAAGAAGAGGGGTTTGCTCTCAGTTTATGTTCTAGTGGCTTGTGTTGGTGGTGGTAATCTTAGAGGTTCTTTGGTTGGGCTGTTTACTATTAGCTCTGTTTGGTTGGGCTATTTACTGTTATACTAACTGTATACCCAGATGCAATACTAAGGTTTTAAGAATTACTTTATAGAATTACATGATGTAGGACAGAAAAAAAAATCTGAATTTCTGGGAAAGAACAGTTCCTACATTGCAATGAATCCCCTTTCCAGCCTCCATTCAATCAGAAGTTTTGGTGTATATTAAGAGAAAAGTTTAAAAGATAATATAAATATTCTTGTTAACTTTAACATTTGGGTGTGTCTGATTAAAGCCTTTATATGACAATATGATAAAGTTGAAGTACTTATCTTATACTTTATTCCAAGATGATTTATAGGAGTGAAAACAAAATTTTACAATTTTACAAGCAAAATTATATTAAATGTATAAAACATACCTTTGCAATAATAACTTCCTTTTTTAAAATTTTCATAGCATAGTATTTCCCACTTGCCTTCTCCCGGACCAGAATAACTTTGCCAAAAGTGCCTTTGCCANAAGTACTTATCTTATACTTTATTCCAAGATGATTTATAGGAGTGAAAACAAAATTTTACAATTTTACAAGCAAAATTATATTAAATGTATAAAACATACCTTTGCAATAATAACTTCCTTTTTTAAAATTTTCATAGCATAGTATTTCCCACTTGCCTTCTCCCGGACCAGAATAACTTTGCCAAAAGTGCCTTTGCCAAGTAGTTTTAAGTAATCAAAATCATTCATTGTCTGTATGAAGTATAAGATGAAATATTAATGGGATTTACAGCTTGCAGATATTGTGTTCATTAAACTATTGCTGTCCATTGGTAAAGTCTATGATTATCAAGAAACAAGCAATCCTTAACAAATCAGTGTGGTATGATTCCAAATTCTGATCTCATTTTAATATTACTGTATACAGTAGAAGAAAGCATGTGCACATTTGAAAAGTACACCAACATGTCAATGATCCTACATAGCATATATAATTATATAGCTATACAACATAGAGAAGAATAATTATTAGATTTATCAAAATGTTTTGCAAGTCCCACTTTTAGAAAAATCATCAACTACAGAGAAATATGAGAACTCAAAAACCTTTAACAGGGTCATACTGCTGGCTCTGAAGCTTCACATAAAAATGTCCTATGCCAAAAAATAACTTCAAAGTAACATCAACAATCAACCTGTTTGTTTTCTTTGCAGAGCTTGCAGATTGCTTGTGTTAAACCCAGCTTATAAAATCTTTTAAGTGGACTAAAATAAATGTTTGTTCTATACACCAGTGCACAATTATCACTAGAAAGTAAAAACAGAAATCTAGTAGCATTTCTTATTTTAAAAAAAAACCTTCAAAACTGAAAAGGTAATTTTATTATGTAGTGATCCCTAGAAAGAATACATGTTTATAAAGGAAAAACACTGCTTAATAAATAGAATCATTTCAAAGTCTAAGCATTATTTACAAGATGCTGAAAGCAATCTCATGTGATGGTCTAATGTCCCTTATGGTGGACATTTAAGTTATAAATGGAGAATGATCATTTCCCAGAGATAGGAAAATAACCCTTTGTCTCAAATATTCAATAACTGATATTCCTATACTGTAATTAGTTTCCACACTTTTAAACAAGCTAGGTCTAAAAATCTATCTCTTATTAATGATTTTTTATGAATCACATTAACCACATTATCTAATAAGACACAGTTCTAATCGTCTAGTTGCATTGTGCATCAAATATGCACAATGCTAATGTTCTCAGTACTGTGCTTCTAATAATCTCACCTAATAACTATAATCAACTGGTAACATCTGCCTTCTAGGAAACATAATGTGCTATTATTCTTATTAGATTGCAGGAATTTTTCATGCTCATTTCTCAGGATATATTAAAATAGTAAGCCAATCAATAATCAACACTCTACTGCTGAAGTAATCATTACAATAATATTAGTTATTGCTCTGATTGCCATTAGAGCCCCCACAAATATCAATATACTGAAGATGTCTATTTTGGCATCCACCAGTATCTCTGTATTAATAAACCACATTATTATTAACATTTATTTTACTTAAATAAATATATAACATGAGCTTTGCTAGAAATTACAATAGATTTATTTCAAAATGGGCCACATAGAAGAAAAACTGGAGAAAAAGAGAGGGGAGAAAGAGGAGGATATCTTTGCATGTTTGCATTCTAGTATATTAGTAATTTATGACCAGATATTCAGCCTCTTCCTGCCAAATTTTTAGAACTGTTGATAATCCAATGCAAATGCCAGTCCAAACACCTATCAGCCCAAGAAAATTAAAGGTTTGTACTTTTCAGGAATGTGCATCACTGGATAAGATGTATCTTACCAAAATTCAATATTTTAAGCAGATTCGCTATGGAATTTAAAAAAGTGCACAGATAAATATATCGGCATACCCAATCTTAATTAATTAGAATTCTTGGTCTAAAACTGAAAGCAAATAAACTATAACTTGTGAAACAAATATGAAAAAATATTGCTATCATAGCAGTCAGTAGAAATGGCTGTGCACCATTTCTCAAAAAACATGTAGATGGCAAAAAAAGTTATTTTGCATAGAAGTTATGTGCCTTTTTTCCTGACAACTTTAAAATTTACTTTGTGAATTTACTTTTCCAAAGTTTAGTTTATGAATGAAGAAGATATTGTACATAGTACTGTATTGAGACAACACTCAAGCTACAGTTGTATGCATGTTTGTATGTTTCAATGAATCCCTAGTTGTATGTTTCAATGAATCCCTAAAAGAACAGAAGCTAATCCAGGTATAAAATTAAATCTCAAATTCTTCTGGCAAATGTGAATGCACACTTAATATTTCTATGCATTTGTTTATACATTGAAAATAATAAAACTGTGACCACAGCAGATACAGAAGTTTGGACGCTCTTCTACTTGATTCAAAGCTTTTTTAAAAAACAAAACAAAACAGTAAAATAGTTAATAAGGCCCAAAAACGTGACTGATTTAAGAGGTCTACCATTAGGCAAGAGAATTCCACAAATACTTTATTCTTTTAATCTCTTATGTTATAACAGTTATTCTGTCTACTTTCTACAACCACAGGCTCCTCTAAGTATTTGTTTGAGTGTGTGAAAATGAAAATAGTTCATTTCTACAAAGAAATTTCTCTCCCCCCCCCCGCCGTGTGTGTGTGTGTGTGTGTGTTATGTTTGTACTTGGTTTTAATGTGTGCTATGATTATTCACAACCCAGAATCACTAGTTTGATATGGCTGGCTATAAAAAATGAATGAATGAATGAATGAATGAATGAATGAATGAATGAATGAATGAATGAATGAATGAATGAATGAATGAATGAATACAAAATCAAAACAAATTTCTACTAGAGCTGCTCTCAAATTGATCAGATTTGTAAACGAGAACTCATAATGCCCTACAACCAACCAGCCGAAAAGTTTTAATTGCAATTGAGTAGCTGTTCACAGTTACAGTGATGTCTATACAATGATAATCTGTGCAGAGGAGTTGTCAGAAGTCTTTCTCTGATCTCATCTCAAATATCACTATCTAATGTATACAAAATAATATCCTAAAACCCTTAAATGTTTTGAAATCCTTTGACCCAATAAAACAACATTTAAAGAGTTTGGCCACAACCACAAAAGGCACATTTGAAGAAAAAAAGGTGAAGCATTAGAAAAATGAGTGTTCACTTTGCCAACTGATGAGCATAAAAAAGGCAGTATTAAACATTAAACAATTAATTGCTCACAAAGGCTAACTGGTATCCAGCCCTAGTTAATATCTGAATTAGGGGCTACCTAAAAATTCGTGCTACTAGTTTGAGTAGGAGGTTAAAAAAAAAAAAATCCAGAAGAGGACAGTGATAAACCAATTTTATAATATTGCCTCAAGAGCTAAATGGACCTGGCCCTAGAGTCAAACTTACTTAGCTGTAGCTTAGCAGAGTCTTATTCTTAATGAACTTAAAATAATGACATTCTACAAAATAACATTTTCTTCCAAGAAATTTTAATATGCAGTTTATATTCTCTGACAAGCTTTCAGCTAGCTTTCTCTTTTTACCCTCATTGTTGTATCATCACATAAGAGAATAATTATTTCCATGAATGATACAAAATATAAATGACTTTTGGGAGAAGAGAAGATGCCACTCAGCATTACTAAATTACAGTGCTGCTCAGAATTAACCCATTATTTTTCCCTATCCACAAAATATTTGCTAATATTCAAAACCATTGATATGTCAAAGGCCAACAAAGCCAATGAAATTCAAGTAAAAATAGATTCAAAATAAAAAAATAAAATATCATGAGCAAACAGTCAATAAATACAACCGACAGAACTAGTGTTAGTCTGAAAAACATCTTGTGTATGCAGCAAACTTACTACTGCAAAATAATCTCTTTGAACTTTAGAATGTCAGCTGATAAACTTTAGCACAATTTTAATGTTACAAATAAAACGGTTTATTATATTATATACTGTATATGAACCTTAGTTTCACATAGTCTCATCTATTTTTCCTGTTTCTATAAAGCAGAAAAAATATGTCTGTAACTAAAGGCAATAAAAACTTTTTAAAATGTAAGTATTAACCAATGTTCTAAATACCTTTCTTTTATGGTGTGTTGTCGAGGCATCCATCTCTTCCTCTCCTATATTATCAATCTGGGATGTTGGGCTGCAATTCATTCTTTCCTCTTCTTGCCTCTGAAGTCTGTCTGCTACTGCTTGGATGGCTTCTGTCCATTCTTCCCTGTTGATGTATATAATTAATTATTAGATAAATTCCTATAATGATGCAAAGCATAAAAAAACATCCGACTGAATATATACATAAACAATAAACAACAATGGGAGCAAACAAGTTTGCTACTGCATTCCTACCTGGCTGAGCTACCACTTAGGACAGAAATTTTCTATTGCTTTTATCCCCACAGATCATGTTCACATATACTGTATGTATATGGATGGATTTCTAATAGTACATAAGTGGATCAAACCAAGTCAAAATAGCAAATGTTCAATTTTAAATAGTAAGTTATGCATGTGGGCAGAGATTTTAAAGAATAATGGAGCTCATTTTTAGAGTAATCATTTTTAAAGGCATACATTTTTCCCAGAAATTGAATTCTTGTTTAATTATTCTCAGTTTTCTGAAATAAACCATCACTAAAAGGTTTTTGAACTAAATTTGTATATGACAAGCAAATATCTGTATACTAAATAGTACATGAAAGTAAATCTAAATTATGTATGTATATATATATATGTGTGTGTGTGTGTGTGTAGCAATAAAATCTAGAAGTAATTTAAATTAAACATATTTATGAATATAAATGGAAAATATAAAAAATACAAATCATAATTTTGCAAGTATGAAGTCAAAATAACAATGTAGGACTGGCAAACATCATCCCATATAGATGTTATCATTAATAAATTAAAATAAATCTTGGGGTTGCACTGAAAATCCACTCGCTCTCCAATATGTCCTTGTGAGTAATGAACAAAGCCTACAGTTGAAATCACATTTTTTTAAAAAGTAAAACATATGTATGCTGCCTGAAGAAATGTAGATCTGGCCAAAAGGGAGAAGACAGCAATGTACTTCAATTCAGTCTTGGAAAAGCAGGGTGCATGAAGAAGAAACTTAAAATAATCCCAGCTGATTAAGATAGGGCAGAAAGAAACCCTGAAAGGATCTCAAGATTTTGTTATTTTACCCTACAGTAATAAAGACTACTCCTGCAACCTCTGCTGCTTCTGTTTCTTTACCATTCTAACACAAAGGGGTAAGATCTATCTTGAAAGCCTCAATATTCTGTCTCAGACAGTCATGAGATCTTGCCTTCTAGATCTAGAATATGGCACAGATTCTTGTGGTTTCCCTGAGAACAGAAGTCTTATTGCTGCATGAACAGGAGGTTAAATACAAAATTACAAACCTATGAAGTGCCACAATACAGCAAGCGCATCTTGTGAAACAAGGCATACCTCACCCAGGAAATCCCCCGAAAACTGCTATACAGTGTTATTCCATTCCCTTGCAATTGACTTGAGAATTCTGATGAAACTCTCAACTGATTCCTGACATTTATATGTCAGGAATTATGCAAATTTTGCTGGTATTGGGGAAAATAGGAAGCAGTTCTTATAATTCCTGATCAGATATATATGATGATATACATCATCTTAACTCCTGGAGCCAACATCTTGGCTAAAATATCCAACAGCTGAACAAGTTTCAGGATAATCTAAAGAAAGGGTATATTCACTTTTCTAAATCTCACACATCTGCACCATTATTTTTTACAAAAAAATAAACAGTTCTTCTTTGGGACTTGTTCTTGATTACTGACTTCTAAATTATACCAAGTTAGTCTTTGACTTATGATTGGTCATTTAACAATTGTTCAAAGTTACATGAACTTTAAAAAAGCTACTTACGACTTTATCTCCAACTTTCAACTACCAGCTCCTCCAGCACAGTCATGTGATCACATTTTGGGTGCTTGGCAACCAGCTGGCATTCACGACTGGTTGTTCCATGATAACATGACTGAGATTTGCCACTTTTTTGCTGGTAACATCCATTCAGAAGAATGGATTTGCTTAATGACCATCTAATTTGCCTTATGAATGCACACTGAGTGAAATGTTTACCGTATTTTTACTAGTATTTTAGTGTAGGTCAATACACCACGGAATGTTGTAGTTGTTGAATACTGGTTTTGAGACCCGAGGTGACACCAGTATTCACTCCCTGATAGATATTGGTAATCTCTATTACTGAGAGATCGAGAAGAAAATCTTGACGAACTAGCGGAAGACTTCCGTGTGTGTTCTTTAGTACATCAGACTTGAGAAACAGTCATGATTTGATCCAAATCACATGATTATTTAAAAGCTTTTGACACACAGTATGGCAAATTTAAATATACAGAAATGGCCTATAGTTCAATTAATTGCTCACAAGATTCATATGTGATGCAGGAAAACATAGCCTCCTGTGAGCAATCCACAGCTCTTGATTGTAAGTGCCTGCAGACTCAGTGCCTGCTAAGCATAAAGGCTATTCTGAAGAAAAGGTAGCAATAGGGATTGGGCAAACAGAATGGGGGAAGATGGCAGATATCAGAAGATAACAAAGAGAAGCCTGTGGAGGAAGTGCCTGCTGGAATTATGTACTTTTATCAGGCCTATATAAAAAACTCCCCCATCTTTCTATGTTGCCTGGCCAGGACTCAGTTTAATGCCCAGACAGAGAAGATAGCTCTGTACTGTAGATCATACTGTAAAACCTTAATTCTGGGAAAAGCATACAAATATGAATGGTCTATTCAAAAATAAGCCACTGTTCAGAATTTGAGAATTTCTTCTTCCCAGCTGCCACTCATACATCCAGCTCCCAGTTACCCCTTTGATGTGCAAACAGATGCTTTGGACTCTGCCTTGAGAACTGTTCTTCAAATTTCATCAGAGGAAAGAACCTCCTCCTTTGTATGTTTTATTCCAGGTTTTTTTCCCTGGCTGAAAAAAACTATGATATTTTCAATAAAAAGTTGCTAGCCTTAAAAGCAGTGTTTCAACAATAAAGGCATTTCTTGGAAGAAGCAATCCATCTCATAAAGGTACACCTAAAATACAAGACTTTGGAACATCGACAAAAGGCACAAATACTGAGTCAATGTCAAATCAAGTGTGCAAACTTTTTCTCCCATTTTAGTTCCTATATCACCTATGCTCCTATTTCAAAGAACACATTTTCATTCATTAGCAAAGAGAGATCCAACCTAGAATTAAGGAAAAATGTTCTGACAGTGAGAATATTTATTTGTTTATTTATTAATTTATTTAGCATATGGCATATCATACATGGATTAGCAATATATATTAACTTTACATCTAGATAGGTAAAACACAATAAAATATGTTTAAAAGATCTATGTTCAAATACCAATGTCTATGCCATCTAATCATTGAAGCACAGTATCATTTATATTTTTTAAAAAAGCAGATACTGGACCGGTATATGAGAACAATTAATAAATGGAACGGCTTGCTTCCAAACGTTGTGGGTGCACCATCATTGGAGATTTCCAAGAAAGATTAGACAGCCATTTGTCCAGAATGGTGTAGGATCTCTTATCTGAGCAAGAAGGTGTACTAGAAGACCTCCAAGGTATCTTTCAATTCTATTATTCTAGGAAAATTGTGCACTAGCTGATTATGTAAAATACAACCAAGAACAAGCATTGATCGTTAAAAACTGGAGCTTACTAAGTGTACAGGAAATAAAGTTAGTATCAAAATAATGTAAAATATATAAATAGAATGCTAGCAGGGAAAAGCATTACCTGGTCAATTTATCAAAAAGATTTAGGAGAAAATGGATAAAGATAAAGTGTGGCAATGGCTTACAACTGGAACATTAAAAAAATACTGAAGATTTGACTTTGGCTGTAAGCTGTTTAAACTAATGCAATCATAGCCAGAACTGAAAAATTGTCAAATGATTCAAGGTACAGATTGTGCAAAGAAGCGGAAGAATCAGATCATACAGTCATGCAAGAAGTTGCACAAACTGAATATAAACAATGACTTGATATAGTCACCAAAATGATTCACCAGAACATCTGTAAAATTACAATCTCCAGTAATAAGGTTAAGGTTAATGGTTAAGGTTAATTTAATTTGTATACCGCCCTTCTCCCGTAGGACTCAGGGCGGTTCACAGCATATTAAAAACACAAATACAATATACAGGATACAAAGAAAATCATACAAAAATACACAAAATAACCCCACTAAAACCTAATTAAAAGCCAAATATTGATTGCTGTGTTCCCATTAAAATTA